GCTGCTACAATTATATTTTAAGGGAGAGATCACAAGAAATGGTTTATTTCTTCAATTTATGTTGCAGTAATAGAGAAAAAGAGATGTCAGAAAAATTACTTCAGGCAACTGTAACTCTTATTCCATTTGTTTTTTTTATTAATGCAAATGTCACAATTAATATGACAGTATTAGAATTCTATAATTTATAAAGTTTTAGGAAGTTAGGTCTTAGTAAGAGTGCTTTAAGATTTAGATAATGATATTCAGTGGTTTGAGGATATAAAAAAGTATTGTATAAGAACTGAAAACTTGTTATTATGCTACACTGTTTTAGTATATTGTTTTAGGTTTTTGTATCTTTAAATATGATTAAATATTTAAAAATTAACTAAGGCATGCAGATGATAAAATCTGCAAAATCTTATAAAAAGGGTATACAATAAAAATCAAAATCCTCTCTCTTTTTTGTAGACCCCATTTCTAACTTCCAGCGTTAAATCATTAAAAAAATTTATGTATCTTTCCAGAATGTATATACAAGCGTGCACACATGCACGCACTCTCTCTCTCTCTCTCTCACACACACACACACACATAAATAATTTTTTTTTTTTCCTTAAGTTGGATTGTTCTCTGCACAATTTTATGCACGCACTCTCTCTCTCTCTCTCTCACACACACACACACACATAAATAATTTTTTTTTTTTTACTTAAGTTGGATTGTTCTATGCATAATTTTTTGCCTCATCCTCTTAACATTATGAAATCTTGATAGGGTATAGTATTTTACTACTTTCATTTAATATAATTTATTCATTTTAGTTATTGATGGACATCTAAGTTATTTCCAGTTTTTTCATATTGTTGGAGTGAATACAGGTTTCGTGGAGCCTAAAGCTTAAAAATTGGGGGGTGGGGATACATCTAAAAGAAAAATTACATATTTACAAATATAAAATTAAGTACAAAGCCTTGGGAAGGTACCATTGCAAGTGAGGTGCCTGAAGGTTATGTGTCATTAGCATCACAGTAAGTTCACTTTAGATTATTTCTATTAGTGCCACAGTAAACATCCTTATATTTACCTTTGTGTACTTGTTGAAGCATAAATATTAGATACATTTTATGGGGTAGAATTACTAAGATAGAGGGTATTAGTTATTAAGATCATGGATTTAGGATCTAAGCTGCCTGGGCTCGATTAGCAGACATTTGGTCCTGTCCAAAAGCTCCCTGGAGCCATTTGGTCCACGCCAAAAGGTCCTTGATATTTGGTCCTATCCAAAACATCCGCAGAGACATTTGGTCTGTGATTATTTGCAGAATGCAAACACTGAACCTTGTTAAAACTGTATGGCTGTTATTTTTCTTATCATTCATGAGGAATCTTGGATTTCATTTTGATTTTTTGTTCTACATTATGAAGTTTGGCACGATTACTCTGCAGTTAATGAGCAATTGCTCTCAGGTATATATCAACCTGATTTTTGGCTTTCTATTTATTTTGTCTATGAACAGAGTCAGTAATCTGGGTTTGATTCTGTCATTTTTATCGTGAGGTTGGTGGCCATATTTGAATGTGACCTTCAAGAACCTCGATGATAACTTATCCATGCCTCTGCTCTTCATCTTCTCACACTTCAAGGAACTTTGGGCATGGCCCAAATGTCTCTATCGACATTATGGAACAGGACTAAATATCAAGGACCTTTTGGCATGGATCAAATGTCTCCCTGCATGTTTTGGGATGTTTGGGACATTTTGGGACAGGGCCAAATATCATGGACCTTTAGATGTGGATCAGTTTTGAACAGAACCTTTTCATGTTGACCAAATGTCTCCAGTAATTGTCCTGGACAGAACCAAATGTCTTGTAAGGCCAGGGCTCTAATGCCAGGCCTTCCACTTCACAACTTTGTGGCCTTGGAAAAGATCCTTAACCTCTCTGTGCCTCAGTTCCTCATATGATAATGGAAATAATAATTGTGTTATTATAAGACTGATATGAATTTAAGTGCTTATTTATAAAGTGCTTAAAACTGCTTGCCACTCAGTAAATGTTAAGTATTATTCAGTTTTGTGAGTTTCTTTTAGGTGGTGAAATTTTATGACTTTTAAATGTTTTGCATCATAATTGTTTAACTATACCATTAATTCGAAAATATAAAGAATAAGCCATTGGAACTGATACTGTTATATTTGTGTATAAAATATATAACAGTGACATCATGGTGAATAGTGCTTTGATATTTGTAAACTATTCTTACATTTATTATGTGATCATACATAAAACTGTAATTACTCTAATGTTTTTTTCTTCATTTAATTCACCCCACTCCAGGCTTTTTTTTTTTTGGGAGATAGTAGTAAAAAAGGGAACATGCTTTCCCCAGGCAGTCCATTCTTCTAAATCATGTCTTTTCTACTTTGAATTTGCAACCATGGATCTATAGAGATTTATAAATATTAAGAAATTTTGACTTAAAAGGCTTACCTTTAATCTTTTTCTTTTTCTTCTTTTTTTTTTTTTAATTTGAGAAGACTTAGCATAAAGCTCAGTTACACTTTTTTTGTGCTCAGGCTGTCAAAAGATTAAAGCCTCAAGAAAACCATTTTCTTGCATGGTCAGAGCTAGAAAAAGTAGAGGAAACTATATTATTATTTCTTTCTCTTGGTCTCCTTTTCTTATTCTTGTCTTTCTTCTTTATTCCTCAGGCCTTCATTGCTAAACCTAACAGGTAGTAAATTCTAGCTAACAGAATAGACCTGCCAGGGAACAGAATTGTTAGACCTTTGTTTGACTTTCTGGTACCTTTCCAGCTCTTTAAGGAATCTAGTAAGCTGGTGGTAGTTTCTTTTTCTTTCTGAGTTAAAGTTGTTTTAGTGCATAAAAGGAATTTGAAAAGAAAAGAAATCATAAATACTTCCTCAGTTGACTCACAAATGAGCTGACATGTGTACTAAAAGTTTTTAGCGTAATAAAGCCTCAAATTTAATTCCCCACTGAAAGCTTGAGTGATATTTTTTCAGGAGGGTTAGTGATTACTATAAAAGGTAGAAAGTATTAGCAGATTTGGATTTTAATATACTTTGCTAGATAAATGGGGTTAGGTGGTCTAAGATGGTTTAAACTTGTCCATTGTAGTAGTGGGTCAGGACTCTGGCTTTCATCTCATTCCTCCCTTCCTAGCCTGTCGTCACAGTAAAAATAACAAGTAAAAAGAGCAGTACTGCAGTTAACTAGGGTAACTATGATGTTCACCACAATCAGATATCTTACCTTAAATTTTTCCAAATAGTAAATATGAAGAAACCAATAAAAAAACTATTATTTTTTACTTCCTTTTAGATTTGTGGTGATATTCCTACTGTTATATCACATCAAATCAACATGTATATGTGTGTGCCTGTGTATGTGTGTGTCTATACACATGCTTACTCTTTTACTTACACTAAGGATAAAAAAGAAATAAATACAAGCTTATATTTATTTCTCATGGAATTGAAATTTTTTCACATTTCTAAAAATTTAAAGTTCTTGAAAATAACGGTGTTTTAGAAAGTGTTGCAACAAACATCCTCATATGGACAAATTTTGTGCACATTGTATTTTGGTAAGATAGGATTTTAGAATGTCACAGAATATTCTAACTGGAGGTACGAGATACTATTTCAGGTTGACCTCTGAAAAATCTGATAATTTTTTCACATCTACAGTGTATGTGTATTTTATTTTTTTTCACAATATTGAGAATACTAGATATCATCATTCTTTTTTAAACTTGTCAATTTTAGTAGGTGAAAAATAACTTACTATTTATTTAGTCTGCAGATATTTAATTGTTAATATTTCCATGTGCTTATTGATTATTTGAATTTTTTCTTGAATATCCAATAATGTTCTTCATCTGTTTTTATATTAAGTTGTCTTTTTTCTCGGAGTTTTTCTGCACTAAGAAGGCTTTTGCTTGTAATTTACACTGCAGATATTCAGTATGACTTTTGCTTTTGACTTTATCATCTCTTTAATTTTAAATAATTTAAAATTTTCATGACTTGAATTACTTAATATATTTTCGTACATTTTGGATTTCATGTCTTGCTTTAAAAGGCTGAAGATAAAATTTTTTATGTGATATGATAGTTGTATGTGTTCTTGTAGTAGAAATATTTCTATTCAGGACCAAATGCGTTTTATGCAGCCATAAATTATCTGGTCTACGAGTGCATGTTTGTGTATTTAATTCTCTTCAAATTTGTATAGAAAGATACATAAAACATAATTACAATATGTGACAATAGCTTACTATGAATTTCAGTTGTTATACAACTGCACCTCACTCTTCTTTAAAATCTGGATAATAGTATCTATCTCATAGGTTATTATGAAGATTAAATAATATACCATATGCAAAAAATACTAGATATCATTTACTCAATGCCAGCTAATCCCACTCAGTAGATATGCATTAGTTCATTTGAACCTCAAAACAATTCTTTGAAGAAGGTATTAGTGTACCCAAATTATAAATGAGAAAATAGATTCAATGAGCTAAGTAACTTGCCTAGGATCTCAGATAAAAAGTGGCAAAGCCAGAATGTAAATACTCAAAAACCACAATCTTTTCACTATACACACTTCCTGGGACCTGACAGGAATTAATTACTTTAATGCTTTCCTCTTTCTCTGTTTTCTGTTTGTTTCTCTTTTTCTATTTGATAAATAAGAGTCTCTGGAACTTCACTGTCCAAGAGTACTTACTATGATTATTGAAATGTTCTATTCTGCACCATCCAGTAAGGTATCCCCCAGCCAGCCACATGTCTGTTCAGCCCTTGAAATGTCATTAACGTCATTCAGGAACTGAAATTTTTATTTTATTTAAATTAACTAAGTTATACATGGCTATTGTTTTGGACATCACAACCTTACCTGTGCGAATGTTGTTTTTGTACATGTATAAAGTGAATGTAATTAATATATTGATTGATAATGAGGAAACTTGTTCATTGTAGGTTGAAAACTTTAGCAGAGGAACTTATGCAAACACAGCAGCTGCTTTTAAACAAGGAGGAGGCTGTCCTGGAGCTAGAGAAGAGAATTGAGGAATCTTCTCAGACCTGTGAAAAGAAATCTGAGTGAGTAAAACAAAAATGATTTGATGGGATTTTACAGAAATACTTCTGTTACGTGTATTATGGATGCAAAATTTCTAGAAGCTCAAAGTTCACTTTAAGTATAAAACTTTATATAATGGAGATACTTTCTAGGACTCTAGGAAAATGATTCTATTTTTGTCAATATAATGTACTGATTATATATCTCAATATTTTAAGTTTGAACTATTTTCTGAAAAATCTTGTTTAAAACTGTCTTTACTTCTCCTCATCATTGTCCACCAGATTGCCTGTGCATTTCTTGTTAAGAAAGTGGTGGGCCAGTATTATGTTGAAATTGGCTTCTGCTGTGTTTGAAGGGTAGCAAAAAAACCCAGTAGAAAATAGCAGTCTTTTTCATCTATAAAATTCCTTCTGAGATTTGGTGTGTTATTTTTGTCTTAGTGTTTTTCTTGTTGATTTCTGGATCTGTAAATATCTTTGTGAATATTCTAACTTTACTTGTCTTGGTACGCTCTTGTTTTCACCAATTGCATTAAATGTTTTCTACTGTTTTGATTTTGATAAAATAATTTCTTATCTGACTTTGGTCATTGTTTGCATCTCCAACAGAATTTACTGGTGTTGTTTCTCTAATGTGACTAGACCATATAAAATTTTTTCTGTCATACTCTCACATAGTTTCACAACTGGCTTGATTCATCTAGATTCTCAAGGAAATTATGATATGTAGGATTTCTCTGATCTATACTTGCTCTTACTTTCTATACAACTTTTCAAATATTCTCCACTTCTATCAAATCTCTGATCTCCTTATCTCTCCCATCATAGCAGATGGACATCTCCTAAATTACAGAAAGAATTAGAATCATCAGGTGGCAACTCCCTTATTTTCTGGGGCTAGATACCCAAATCCACCACATTTATACTCATTCTCTTTTCTCACTTTCATAGAACAGTTAGTTCCTTGTCTTCTCTAAGTCTGTTTCTTGTGCTTGTCTTTTGTATCTCATCATCACTTACTTTCCTAGAACATTTGCATTGTTATGTTCACCTTTTCTCTTCAGCTGGGTCCTGTGCTCACTTTTTAAATGTTTAAATCTTGACTCCTAAAAACAATCTTCACCTCTCTGCCCACCCCAGATAACCCTTTTTGAATCTTTCTGTTTTCTCCTAACTACTGTCTTTGCCTTCTGCTTTCTTAGTCAAATTTGTTCTAAGAGTGATTATGCATACTCATTTTCTCAACTCCCACTTAGTTCTCAGCCCACATGTATCTGGCTTCTGCCCATCATTATTGAAATAGGTATCTGAGATCACCAGTGATCTCTACATCACTAAATTCAGCAACTATTATTATTCCTCACAGTATCAGACTTTGTTGACTTCATGTTCCTTCTTTTTCCTTGGCCTTTGGGACCCAAGATACTAGATCTTACTGCTCTCTTTCTGGTCACTCCTTCTTTATAAACTTATTTTCCACCACTCAGCCAATCTATTTTGGAGTTATTCAAGGCATGACCCAAGGTTATGTCACTCCCCTCTCTGAACTCTATTTCTAGGTGATCTGAAGATGACCTGCATTTATTACTCTTGCTCAGATTTTCCTTTGAACTCTCTGGCCATGTAATCAATTGCCTACTTAACATACCTCCTTAGATGTCTCAGAAGTGCCCCAAATTCTTGTGTCTGAGGCCGAATGAAAAATCTCCTCAATACAACTCAACCTAGTTTACTCTTAGTGTTCATTATTTCAGTAGATGGCAACAGTATCTATTCTATTATACAGCTCACAATATTGGGAGCCTACCTCTCTCACTTATACTATGGGTCTTATTACAACTTGGTATTTAATATCATATTGGAGTCAGTGAGCCTTTCAAGGGTGGGAACAGAAGTTTGAGTTACTCTGGACATTCCTTTAATCTGAAAATTTTCAGTATTAACTGAAGAGTCTATTTGTTTATAAAAATAAAGTTTATCAGCCATTGCTCATATAACATTCAAAAATAAAATTATCTTTTTCTTTTTTTCTTTTTGCAAATAAATCTCTTCAGTGTTTACAGATGACCAACTAGTTCTACTTTTTATAGTTTGTAAATGCACATATTGCAAATAACTTCTGTTTTAAAATTTAGTCGATATAAAGAAAGAAAAAAGGACAGATGATCCTTTTACTAGCATGTCTGACTGTATTGTTATTGGAAGTGGCAATCTTCAGGTATTATCTTAATCTAGAAGTTGTGGGATTCTTTGATTTTTGCGGGGAGGGTATGTTTTCTTGACTTAAATCTTTGACTCTCTCTTCATTTACATAATCAGTGTGATCTCCATCTATTTTTATTTATCAGGAGATGAGAATGGGAGTAGAGGAGAGGGGGCTTAAAGGATATGGATATATGGGAAATAGCATATCTTGAATTCTTTGTTCCACATATTATGTGGATGTTTTATATATATTAACTCAATGAATATTACCTATACTATACCTTCTATATGATTGCTTGTATTTTACCTTTAGGACTTAGAGAATTTAGGTAACTTACAATCATGTACCTAATAAGTGGTAGAAATCACGTTGAGTTGCGACTCTAAAGTTAATATTTTTTGATCACAGCATTTGTTTGATCTTATGATTTAAATAGTGAGTTAGGAGTAAGTATGTCAAACAATCAGGGGATGAGTCCTGTTTAATGCAATTTCTATTAGCCCTTTGTTACCATGGAGTTTTTACTATTAGCTTTAGTGCATAATCTTGAAAATGTTAAGTTGTTTATATAACTAAATAGTCATTGCGAAATCCTGTTATTTTAGATATTGGTAAGGTTGAAGTTTGAATTTGAATTGTATGTTAAAATATTTTGCCAAACAAATAGTCTAAAAGGGATTCTGGGGAAATGTTTGCATTTCAGTTTCTGAAACATTTCATTTTTTGGTATGTCCATGTATATATATCTACATATATATTTAAATGCACTTAAATAATTAACAGCAATTTTTTTTAGTTTTAAAAATAGATTTAGAATTACTTTTACTCTGTAACATGTTAGCTTCGTATACTGTTACTTGAAAGTAATAAAATCATAAAACAAAACTACATTTCTTCACAAATACTAAAACTATCTTATACATTAGATAGTTACATTCTTAAATTATTTCTAAGTTAATGGAATTGTACTGAATTTTTGCTTAACAGAAATAGCATTATTGGTTATATCAAAATATAACAAGGGACTAAAGTTAAGCCCTTTAAATTTGTATTTAACATAAATGTCTCTAAATCATCTTATAATAACAGTGACAAAATAAATTATATGAGAAGTCATTTGATAGCTTTGATTCCTATAATTGAATAATATGAAGTGATAAAGGAACTTAAAGAATGGTTTTTATGCAACATTTACACAACAGCAGAGGTTTAGCTTGTATAAATAATGCAGGTCTCAGCTGAAATGTAGTTATTGCAGAATTCTATCTAAAAAAAAAATAGAGTGAAAAGAATAGAGCCAACTGCTAGAAATGGTATAATTCTAATGCAGCACAAAGTATCATTCTAGTATACATATCTTTTCATTACTCCTAAAGCGTATTTATTCAAATGGAAATAAAATCAATCTTCACCTGATTTATGATCCTTGACTAGTGTATTAGAAAATGGTTTGTGGGAAAATATACCAAGCATATGTCATTGATGACTCAATGGCATAAAGATCTAGAATCTTACTCGAGATTTTAATGCTTGGTTTGACTTCTGAAAATTGAATAATTACTCAATTTTGTAATATTTTGTACTGTTACCATCTAGTACTTAAAAATACTTTATACATTATAAAATCAGACTCTTAGAGCCATGCAGAATCTTAAGAGATCATTTGAGTCAACCTTCTTGTCTTTCAAATTATGTGACATATGAAGCCCAGAAATTTTGAGACTTTCAAAATGTCACATGCAGCTTGTAGTGAAGGTAAGAACTGAACCATCTAGAGTATTGTTCTAGTCTGCAAATTCAGGGAGCCTTTATTTTTGTCTCAGAATTTTGAGATTATGTATGCTAGTCCTTTTCCATCTAACTTATTTTGCTTAGCACGATACTCTCAGGATCCATCCATGTTGTTACAAATGGCAGTATTTCATCCTTTTTATGACTGAGTAATGCCCCATTGTATATATATACCACACCTTCTTTATCCAGTCATCCACCAAAGGACGCTTAAGTTGTTTCTATGTCTTGGCTACTGTGAATAATGCTGCAGTAAACATAGGAGTACATATATCTTTATGAATAAATGATTTCACATTTGTTGGATAGAGACCCAGAAGAGGGATTGCTGGGTCATGTGATAGCTCTATTCTTAATTTTTTGAGGATCCTTTCTCATACTGTTTTCCACAGTGGCTATACTAGTGTACATTTCTACCAGCAGGATCTGAGGGATTCTTTTTTCTACATCCTCTCCAATACTTGTTGTTTCTTGCCTTGATAATAGCCATTCTAACAGGTGTAAGGTGGGTATCTCATTATGGTTTTGATTCACATTTCCCCATGGCTAGAAAAGTTGAGCATCTTTACAGATATCCATTGGCCATTTGTATGTCTTCTTGGGAAAAACATTCAGATCTGCTCATTTTTTTTAAAAAATGTTATTTTTCAGTTAGAGTTGATGTTCAATATTATTTTATGTTAGTTTCAGATGGGCTTCACAGTGGTTAGGCATTTATAATTGATAAAGTGATCCTCTGAGAGATACAAAGAACAAACTGGTGATTGCCAGATGGGAGGGAATTTGAGGGGCTAGGTGGAAAAGGTGAAGGGATTAAGAAGTACAAATTGGCAGTTACAAAATAGTCACAGGGATGTGAAGTACAGCATAGGGAATCTAGTGAATAATATTGTAATTTTTAAATGAGATTTTTTTGTTGTTGTCATTGAGTTGTATGAGGCTTTCTATATTTTGAATATTAGTCCTTTACTGCAGGTATTGTTTACATATATCTTCTTCCATTTGATTGGCCGACCGTTTTGTTTATGGTTTCTTTTGCTGTGCAGAAGCTTTTTAGTTTGATGTAGTCTGTCATTTCATCCCTTTTTTTTGCATTCTTTTCATTAGTCTATGTGAAATTCATTTGCAGAAGACTATTGGTTATAGTAATGATTGTAGAATGTTATTATTTTCAAGTGTACTTTCCTATAGATTTTGTCCACATTTGTGAAATCATTCACCTTTTTTTGGACTGATCTTGCAGATACACATGAAAATATGGTTTTTTTGTTTGTTTTTGTTTTTTACCGTCTTACCTTGTACGTTTCAAATTGTTCCTAATGCTGTTGTCATTGTTGTGATTCTTTTGGTAGCTAGGGAGTGCAAAGAGGACGCAAGCCCTCGGGAAGCTTTAGGTTCATATGGATGTAGTCTTTCCTATGACCTGGTTCTCATGAATTTATGTTCACAAAAGTGGTTCTTTTTAAAATCAACTTTCTCTGAAGAGATTCACTGAGAAAAATTATAACCAATTTATTATGCAAAGGGTGTTACCACCTGAGCAAACAAACATGAGTGTATCAGAAATTCTGTGTGGATTTAGAACACAGATCACAGATTGTCGAATGATGATGTTATAAATGACAGTTGTCATTTACTGAATTCTTACTTCATGCTAGGCACTATGCTAATGAGTTTTCAAATATTATCTTATTGAATTCTCAGAGCAACCCTGACAGTAGGTATTGTTACCATCAATTTTTCCAGTGATAAACTGAAGATGAGAAAAGCAAAGGAATTATTTCATAAAATTTAATCTGTCCTAATACAGTATAATTACATTCTTTCCACTTTCCACTACTTGGGAAGCATTCGTGAGCTCTGATAGTACGGTACATTTCTCTCCATTACTTCTGCCATTAACTCCACTGGTTAAAATAATTTATCTTTTGAACATTGCTAGATCTTTCTGACAAATTATCTTACTCTTAGTTCTACTTTTCCAAAATTTCACTCAATTCTCTACCTTTTTATTAGGATATTCACCTGAAACTCATTGCAATATAATTGAGATTACAGCTTTCTTTATAGCATCCACTGAGGCTGCACCCTGCTCAATTTGATTGGCCATGAGTTTTAAAATATCAATCAGCATCATATGTATAAATAAATCTCTCTTAATGTGTGTTCTTTCTACCTATAATTACTTACTCAGTTTATATTGATTATTTTAAGTCCCAATTTAAGAAGAAAACATTCTGACCTTATTCTCCAACTTTGAAGGTTTCCCTAATTGACAGTCTGTGGACTCTTACATACTAACTTATTTTCAGTAGTGCATGGCACAGTTCTTTAAGACATTAGTATACTATGTATTGACAGTGTTTTGAGAGTTGTTCCCTGCCATTACTACCTTTTTTTATGGCTTATAATGTGGGTGAATTCGTTTGAAATTTCTACTCAGGCAGCCTCCAAGGGATTAAAAAAAGACAATAAGGCAACATGCAGCCTATGTACTTCTCTAAAGGAAGGACTGAGAAGTCTGTTGTCTTCACAGTGGAGCTATTGGAGAGATTTGGGGTCTTATGCTATGCCCTTTCCCTTAATCACAGCTCAGCCTTAAGTCCTCGGCAGAATAGCTTTCCCCAACTCTAAACACACATCTTTCACAATATACACACAACCTGGTCCCAGACTGTCATCTTGATTTGATTTGATTTATTTTGGGCACAGATCTGATTCTAGCTATATTCCATTTTAGATATGAAATAAATTAAGATTCTGCTTCAGTCTTATTAATTCATTTTAGGCCCTACACTTCTGGACTTAAGTGTCTGTACTCTGTGAGGTAGATGGTTTAGCTGTAAAATAAAATGAATGCCATTGATCATAATATATTTGAAAGCATCTTGAGTTTTGCTTTTATTTCCAAACATTTTCTTCCATTTTGTTAATGTGAACATTTAATAACTACTGTGATGACTCAAAATCTGTTTAGTTTCATAATCCTTCTGATTCTGTAGAACTCACAAAGATGAAAATGAAAGAAAACAGAAAAGCTTGTATGTTTTTTTAAATCTGTATTTCTTAAAGAAGTCAAAATAATTTATATTTAATGCTTTTTTTTTTTTTTTTAGTATTGTGCTTCTGATAAGCCAAAAACAGACACTTGAAGAACTGAAACAGTCAGTGCAGCAGCTGAGGTGCACTGAGGCAAAGTTTACAGCACAGAAAGAATTACTAGAGCAAAAAGTACAAGAGAATGATGGAAAAGAGCCACCTCCAGTAATAAATTATGAAGAAGATGCACGATCAGTTACATCTATGGTAAGGCAAAAAGTAATCAAATGAGAAACTTAAAACAGTAGTATATAGGTAATTAGTGAATACAAAAATTGATTCTGGTTTACTATAACGAATTATTACTCTTGTTAATATGCAGGTCCTATTAAACTTGTTTATATGCAAAATAGACTTGTCAGTCACCTTCAGAGCACTTTCAGGAACCACCTGTAGAGTCAGAGGATAAAGCTCTTCTCTTGCCTTCAAAACTGAAAACAAAGACTGCAATTGTTTTTATTCCTGGGAGACAGCAGGAAGGTAGGGTGTTATTCTTAAGATAGAAGTAAGAAATAAGGAGAAAGCTATTTATTTATTTTTCTTAAGAATAATAGAATCTTATCGGAGATGTGTTTATTGTTTTCACAATGGAAAATGTTGATTTTGTTTAAAAAGTATTTTCCTTACAGATATCCTTAAACTACAATAAACACATTTAAATCCACCAATTACCAATTCAAGTTTATTTTGTATAGTTTTATTAACTACTTAAGAATGCCTAGTATAAATACTTCCGTCCATCCCTCGTTCCCTCTCTTCATTTCTTCATTCCTTTCTTCCTTTCATCTTATGTTGGTGGTTCTCATCAGGGGACAATTTTACCCCGCTAGCAAACATTTAGCAATGTCTCCAGGCATTTTTGGTTGTCACAACTAGTAAGTGTATTCGTATTTAGTGGGTAGAGGCAGGTGATGCTGCTAAACATTCTGCATTGCATGGGACAGCCCCTCCCTTCATAATTTCAACAAAAAAATTATCTAACCCCAAATCTCAATATTGCCAAGGTTGAAAAAGCTTGAGCTATATCCTTGACTTTTTCTGTGAGTAGCTGGATATAGTCCATAAAAAGAACTATTATAGGTCATGATGCTATAGTTGACATTTTAGTAATTTTTAAGTTTATGTAGTTCTAAATAAGATAGTTTGATTGGTAAACGATTCAAATGTCTTCATAGGGGAAAAAAGGCTGCATTTGAAAATGTGATAAATGTGGCAATTAATATGAAGTATTTAAAATATTGTGGTTATTGCTATTTTGGTTATTAATTGAGCCATACTGATCTACACATTATATTGTGAATTATGAATTATAATTCTTTGCTCTGCTTAGCTGTTCTGTCAGATAAAAAGGATCTTACCATCTGTTACCAAGGACCCTACTAGATTCTCTTTCTTGTTTTATGATTCTTGATAACTACCTGGCATATGCATTCTTTCAGAGGAACTTCTGAAATTTTTTCTTTTACTTGGTTTTTGAAAACCTTAGTAAATCTTTTGTTCTCTGAATGTGGTTTATAACATTTCCTTGTCTCCATGTGGGTACGGAATTGGTTACATCATAGCTTGTTAGTGGCAGATGGGTTAAAAATGGCAATCTAATTTACTTTAAGTAATTCTGTGTGCAGATGACTCCTGTTGGCATTATTATTATGATAGAATAAAAAATAGCTTTTCAAATCTCTAGATGTAGCACATTCCCATTCAATAACTACAACTAAAAATTAGACTTTGAAATTTAAAATATATCGGTTCATTAATTCTTATTTTATTAAGAACTTATGAGTATTTGGACTTTTTTTTAATCTTTCATAATCATTCAAGAGAAGCATTTTAAACAAATGAATAAATAATGTTTGAGAGAGAATGTATAATACAGTTTAAGAGAACAAACTGCTTCCTGGCACTTTGGAACTTTCTCTTTACCCATTTATTAAATGATGATAGTACCTTGTAAATTTTTACAAAGTGATGTCACATATTTCATTTTACCCAATTTATTTTAAATTGTGAAATGCTAATTGTAAATTATCTTATCTATTCACTGAAGCAATGCTTTTAATATGTATTTAAGGAATTTATAAAAGAGTTTTCTAATAATTCTTTAAAATAACAAAGACATATTTTATAAATCAAACAGGCATTTCCCAAATTGGTGCCAACTGAGATTTTACAGTATATTTTATAAAACAAGTAGAAATATTTGTAGTACATAGTTCTTAAAATTTAATTATACTCCCACCTAGATCAGTGAACTTTTTGCACAATTAAGCTTTGTTTTGTGAATAATATTTTAAGAAAAGCCTGAAATTAACATAAGCAATTCTTTTGGTATTTCCTCTTTACACATTCCATCCTTTTAAGTGGTATAAAATTTCAGTGAGGGAAATTAAGTTGAATATTGGAAGAATTGAAAGAACAAAAAATTAAACTATGGTATCATGGAAAATAATGAAAACTTGGCTTAAATATTATATAAGAGTAGTAGAGATAATTAACTAATTTACATGACCTAATTAATGGCAGCATTAACCAAAATGCTGACTTCAGTGGTGATGCTTCTGTGGAACTTTAAGGAACCGTACCACTGACATGAGCCATGAGTTATGTATTCTTATAAAAATTCCAAGGTAATTGAGGTATATAATCAGGGTTAGGATTGTATAGTCAGGTTCATAGATGTATTGATGTTTATTTTTTGCTGTAATTTGATGAGATTTAAAGCCTATCTATTAATTTACAGAAACCTAAAAAAATTGTGATGGCAGATAACAAAGTCATCTCTGTCAGGAAAAGTCATCCATCTAATATTGTCTTTTTTTCACCTAGATCTAATTTTGGCCAAACTACCAAGGAGAAAATGATAAATATTAAGTATTGCACAATATTTCTCTATCGTCTATGGATAAATGTATTCCTTCTTCTTTTC